AGTGAAATTCATCAAATTCTTTCAACCTCTGTGGAAAAGTAAAATCTTCTTAAACATGTTTCTGATTTAAAGAAATAATTTTTAAAAATTGGAAATTAATAAAAGTCAAAAAAAGTTTTAGAACATATAGATTTAGCAGAAGCAAGCACCAAAAATGTCAGAGTCTAAAAATGAAAATACTCCTGAATTGGCAGTTGAGTCCATTTTCTACAACCTTATGATTTATTCTGCGATGCTCCTCTCTTCTATTGCTGCAACAGTTGCAAGAAACCTGTGTGTCAAGTTTTCAACTTCTGTTACAGGTATCACACCAGAGGAGTTCATATCCCAGTCCCCTGAAAAACAAAGTAAATACTACCAGATGAAGAAGCTGCTTTCAGAAATTCTCTCAGTTCAACTGGAAAATGTTCACATTTTCAGTGTACTGAATAGCCCAAGTCCAATCCAAGGGGTTGATGTTTGGTTTGCAGTTTATGGTCCACCTTACTATAAAGCAGAAAAACTTAATGGCAATGTAGCAGCTTCCAGAGCCTGGGTAAGTACCCATCTTGTGTGTGAAGCCACAGCATCTTCTCATTGTGTCTATTCAGGTAATGCCCATTGCCTAGTGAATGTGAACAATTAGAATGTTGAGGGAGTAATGTGTGAGAAGAATAGATAGTTTTGATCACTGAAATGAAACAATCCTTTTGCACTTATACTAGAAGTTTCAAATACAGATGTTTTGAAAGCCAGACTCTAAATTCTTATGAAGTCACCTAAACACAAGACACTTTTAAGACTCTAAACATGTTTTTCCTATTGAAAGGACTGTGAAACACTGTATAAAGAATGTGTTTGGCTTTTGCCTTTCTACATGATGCCTTAATGTTACAATTTTTAGTTCTCTAGTTGCAACTCCCAAACCAACTCCAAACGTTTCAAGTTTCTAGACTTAAGAGTAAAGCAAAGTAGTAAAAGCACCACTCTCCAGTACAAAACCAGGTCGGAAAACTGTTTAAAATTTTGTTAAGTTCCTTTCCCCCTAGCAAAAAAAAAAAAAAAAACAAACCCAAAAACAACAACAACAAAAAAGAATCCCAGAAACGTTGAAAAGAGTTGAATTATTTGCCCTCTTGGAAACATGTTGGTGCAGAGCTGTACCAACTCATTCTTGCCAGAAAAGATTTCTTAGCTATCCAGTGCCAATTCCCAGTATCTTTAAGTTAGAAGTTCAGATTAAAAATATAGTTCAGATGCCGTGTAAATAATGCCTCAGAACCATTAGTGATAAAAATTTTTCCACTCAGTCTCTAATAAACATTGACAGTATTTTTGCCCTCGAAATGCTTATTTGCTCTGTATTTGACTTACACCAAGACTTCGGCCTTAACAGATGCCAGACTGAGCTGCCCTTGGCTGTATATGGTGAGGTAGACATTGGAAGGAATTGGAACAGCAACCAGTTTTGAAAATAAATCAGACTTGGGCTTTTCTTTGCTGTCATTGGTGAACTTAGTGGAAAAGTCAGATGAATGCAACTAATTGTTATTGTTCTTCTTCAGCTGGAAAGCATTCTGGACATAAATATCACCCAGACTGGCATTGATGAATGTGTGACTGCAGACTGCACTCATAGCAGTGGATGCATCAGTAAGCATGAACAAAACCATGTACCAACCATAACCACAGCTGGAAGCATTTCACTGGTGTCTGTGACAGTCCTGAGTCGTGCTGTGTGTGGCTGTGCTGCTCGGGAGAATCCTCATCTTTCCTGCTCCTCATACCAGACAAACCCCTGTCTCAATGGTGGCACATGTGTGGATACTGTTTTGGGCTACAGGTTGGTAAAGCTTCATAAGGTGTGCAAACAAAATCCATGTAGTGCAGACTGTAAGGAGGATGAGTTGAAGCTTCAGGAATCATCATTGCATGTCTTCCCACTGTGGCAGATCGAAGTTTTGTTACACTTCACACACAGGTCTTGCAAAAGAACATCTATTTTCAGGTTCATATATTTTATGTTCAACGTAGTCTCTAGGAAAACCTTGGGCATATTCCAGGCTGCACCAGTTCCATTAATGCCATCCTGCAAAATGCTCTTAGTTTGTGCAGTTTGCCTTAAACATTTTAATGCTGTCAAAGGTTTTAATTATATCTCTTACATCACTTCATAACCTTTTTCCCCCACTTCTTGCTTCACTTGTTTCTCAAAAAAATGAGATCTCATAGATAATACAGTATAAAGATGAGGAAAATTATAGGACTGTACTAGCTCAGTATTAGCCTGATCCTCTTCCAGAATGTGGTCTCCAACAAATTTGCTTAAAAATAATCATCCCAATATAGGAAAGCAAGAACACTGGCCAGTCTTTGTAGCACCCTTGGTAGGGGTGACAGGACCCAGACTGAAGCTGCAGAAGCTCTTGTCATGCTAAAGTTCTCAGTTGCTGCTCAGGTATAATCAGAGAGGGAAATTTTGCTGCCCAGAAACTCCAGGTAGGCTCTGTCACCCATCATTTGTTCAGCTCTGAGGTTTCTTTGCTTCTGCTCCATCTTCAGTAGTTTTGTGTGCCATCTTTTCCTGCATCCTACCCCCATCACTCTGCTCTCAAAGGTACTAGCAATCTATGGGAAACAGAAACTAGGGAACAGGAGCACAGCTGATCTCCCTTCCTGTCCTTCTGCCCATTTCTGTTGTTCCTTTGGTTTCCCACTTACAGGTTCTGTTACTGTCATACTGTAGCTACTTTTTTTCTACAGAGTATTAAGGAAAGAACTCCAAGCCTCTCATTTGATAGTGTAAAAGAAATAAACTAGCAAGTATCTTGCAATAAGAGTGAAGACACCAAGATCTATGACTGCCACACCCCACTTTTTCTGGGTGATATTACCCTTCCTGTGGAGACTGATTGGACGCAAGCAGATTTTTTTCCCAGTGGAAATAATCAACCACTGCATTAATCTCTCCAGGGAGGTGGTGGTTTACCCAACAGTGGACACTTCTGAGCTTCGACTACCAGGATGCTAGACCATCTCGTCTAGATCATTCTTTTGCCAAGAAAAGTTGGACCAAATTATACTTGAGTCCCTTTCAACCTGGCATTCTGTGATTCTGTGATTCTATGATTCCTTTGCTTTTCCTGTCAGCATTATAAATTCTTCAGACAAGCTGATAAGTAAGCTTAGTGAAAAGTGTGTTTTTCTTTTTTTATGCTGAAGAGGTAAGAGGTTTTCATGGGCTTTATATATTACAATAAGTCCATCATTTACTCATAGAATATCATTGCAGAGACATATTATTATAATTTAGACTAAATTTATATTGTATTTGTACAAACAAGTAAAAAAATATTGTAACAGAAATTTTGCTAGTACTTTACCTGTACTATGGAGTCCTGTGTTTAAAGTGGAGAACCTTGTTGTCGGAAGAGACCTTTGCAACTTCTGTTTGAATGATGGATATTTGCTTTTATTTTTTTAATTAAATAGATGCAAATGTGCTGCAAATTTTCATGGACCAGACTGCCAGCAGACAAAACACAGCTTCACAGGCCACGGTTATGCCTGGTTCCCTCCTCTTCAGCCTTGCTTTGAGAGCCGCATCTCCCTAGAGTTTATCACTGAAGTTGTTGATGGCCTTCTGTTGTACCATGGACCAGCAACACAAGGGCAGCCTGGAGAACGGGAAAATTTCCTTGCTTTAGGTTAGCACCTTATAAACTGTTTGTGGTTGTGTGAAGGTGAGATTCCACTTAGTCCATAGGTTTGGGGCTTTTATTTTTTATAAGGCTCAGAAAGTTACTGTTGGAGAATGAGGAGAATGCACAATAGTTTGCCAGTATGCCTAATTCATATCTTTGTGTCACTGTTAGAAGCTGGACTTTTTTAAGCTGTCTGAAGATCTTCTCCAACTAAAACCTAACTGCAACAGTCATTTTGACTTCATTTAAATGAGAACATGGTTACTGCATATCCAATAAGAGTCTTTCCCTTGCAGAACTCTCTGGTGGTGTCCCATCGTTGACTGTGAGCCACAGCTCTGGTGAGCTTTTCCTGAAGCTGTCACAAAAAGTTAATGTTGCAGATCGCCGCTGGCACAATATTAAAATTATAAATGATGGAAAGGCAAGTGTAAATATGGGCAGTCCTGTATAAGCATTAATTCATGTACCTAGATATTCCTTCCAAATCCTTCCTCCCTTCTGTAGACTCTTATCAATCAATCAATTTTCCATCATGTCTGAAACAGCAGGGGCAGAAGTTTGTTAGTTTGGACATCCTCTTAGTCTTGAAGCAGCGAAGCAGAACAAGGCCTGGAGAAGTCAGTTATGAAACTGGCCATGCTATTTCCTTTGTTTAGTTATCCTGCCTGCTGCTTAGACAACAGAGTTGTGATAATCCAGGGGCTTAATGCTTCCTGATGTGATTGAGTGAAATATTTATGCTTTATCTGAGTGAGAAGCCCTGCCCCACCAAGAGACTTTATATGTATAGCACAAATGAGGTAGATGCACTTTTGTGTACAGGGAATATCTTGCTGATATAACACTGCTGAAGGCATGTGCTCAGCTCCCCCTTCTCTCCCACACAAGACAAGCTGAAGGGCAGGTCAGGATCTGGGATGCAGTCTGATGGACCTTCTGCTCTGCTAGGTTATCTCTCTGTGTTCTGATCTTGCAGAAAACTCCAAGAATGTCCCACACTCCCTCTACTATGTCAATGACTTGGCATGGTCATGGCAGAGTCAGATCTTTCTTCTGTGTGGCTCTTTAGTTATATGCCATGTGCAATAACTTTCAGATTAGTATGTGGAGTATTTTATTATTTTAACAAAGTTTCCTGCACTGTAACTGCTAGTTACTATTCTACCTTCTGCTAACTGAAAGAAAATATGTAAAAAATATATGCACATGAAAATATATGCACATGAAAATATGCAAAATATATGCACATCTCTGGATATAATTGTTTTAAATAATACCTTTTTCTAGGAAGTGAAGTTGATTCTTGACAACTGCATGAATGTCTCGTTTAGAGACGACGGCAGTGTCACTAAGAGGATTTCCCAAATGGATCTGTCTGCCTGTGAAGCCTCTGGAGAGATTGTGGGATCTCAAAGGTAAAAAAACCGCCAAAACAAACAAAAAAAAAGCAAACAAAAACCCCAAACAAACAAAAAACAAACAAAAGAGCTCAAAAGAGCTGCAGAAAAAGGCAGGGGTGGGGTGGTGAAATCTTCCAAGCTGTTGTATTTTGTGTTCCACTGATTCTTTCTTTCCCTCCCTCCTGTTCAGCATGGGTAAGCTCTTCAGTGGCCATCAGCCCCTGCAGCTGGGTGGAGTTAAGAAGACCTTGCTTTACCACAACTCACAGAGGCACTTCAGGGGGTTTGTGGGCTGCATACGCAATGTCATCGTTGATAGTAAGGTAGGGCCACAAAGATCAGTTCTGGATTGACTGCTGATAATTGTAGGCACCTGCTGTGATGGTTTTCTTTGACCTTTTCCAGGTCTATGATTTACAGCACCCTGCAGAGTCCCTGAACAGTGCTCCTGGCTGTGTCCTTATGGATGAAATGTGTCAGAGTGGTGGGATGGCCTCCTGCGGTACCCATGGCAAGTGTGTTGGTGGCTGGGATTTCTTTCACTGTGACTGCTCCCCAGGATATGCTGGAGTAGCATGTGAAAAAGGTACTGCAAGTTCTAGGGAGAAATTTGTGGTGGGGATCTGTGGGAACAGCATCAGACACACTGCTCCAATGTTCAAAGTTATACTGCCATGACTTTGAACTGAATAGAATAATAATACCGTGCTCTACTCTGGGAATGATTTAGATCTTCAAAGATGTCAAGATCCTACTAACTCTTGCTAAATAAAGATAGTGCCACAGATGAGGGTTATGTTAAGAACTGCTTTATTTTGCAGGGCAGGGAGGTGGTCAGACAGGTTGTTTTGTCCTTTTTATCACCATCTTATTTGTCAGTGGTGAAAGGGGAAATATTCTGCATTGTGCCTTTCTCCTCTGTTCATGCTGATCACAAAATGAAATTTAATGAACATGTGGGCATAACCCTCTTGTTATCTTCAGGCCCCATTTCCCATTTATAAAATGGTGATAATTGCATTTGCATCTGTCATTGGAATGAATTGCAAGTTCAGCAACACCCTTAGACCACAGCAGTGGGTGTATGTGGGGGCATGATATCAGGCTGCCTGTAACAAATGTGTTATCTTGTACAAAATCAGCATGAAATATGTATCAGAGAACAAAAGCTTCCCATGGTGGATAATGAAAACCTCAGAGTTGTAAGAAAGTGGAAAATTTTAGCACAATTCAAAAACTTAGGAAATAAATTATTTAACTCCTAGTAGCCCACACCTGTGTTCAGGTGTGGGATATGCACTTGAAGTTGGTTCTGTCTCCTCTATCTTAAAACCTTCATCAGCCAAGCAAGAATCAGAAGGGAGTGACAGGTGTTTATTGGGACTTTACCTGCCTGCCTGCAAGGTACAAATGATGTGCTTGATCATAACAGTCTGTAAAGAGCACCAGTGGCCCATAAAACTCTGGGGGCTTTTGTTGGAAGAGAATTATCCCCTCAGTCCTGTAGTTTGAGTGAGCTACAGGTGAGGATGAGCAGCAGTGAACAGCTGGAAAGGAGTCCTTGCAAGCTAGTGTTGGATTAATATGTTGGAATTTATGAATAGGACAATGGTGCATTACACATATCCTTTCAGCTCAATGCACTTAATTTTCCTTCTTGTATACAGAAAAATAATACCCTGTACAGGCAGCCAGACCCGCTCTTCTTTCTCCATCTGCCACACAAGACTTAAAAAGTGTGACAGTAAATTACTCAGTGGAAGCTCTGTCCAAGGAGGGAGAGGACTGGAATTGTAACTGGCATGGTCCGGGCCTGGAGCATTCACTGTGTAGGATGTTCATAATGACCACAAAATTGGTTAATATAGTTAAGCTTTTTCTATTACAGACAGATGATACTGGTTTATAAACATCTGCCTGGATTCAAATCCTACTCTGTTTTGCATTATTTTGCTTCACAAGCCCAGCTGCTGTATTGGTTCTACCCTTCATTACTGTGGGACAAACCAAGGGCTCAGAAAGTAATTGTTCAAAATCTGTAAGTCATATCCTGATGTAACAGAAGAACTTTGATTGGCGCCAGCTTCTTCTAATATATTGGGCTGCAAAATGCTGGTATGCAGCTGGTGCTTTATGAATGACTGTGACATGCTCACAGCAAGGAGCAGACAGCTGAGGACGGGAGTCACTGGAGCACCCCAGGAAAACCCATCCCTGCTCATCAGCTAGAGCCTGTAGCTACAGAGACAGTGAACAAGAGAGAACTGGGCTAGGAACAATAATGTTGAGGGGAAAACCTAGCGGAGAAGAGAAAACATGCTTCAGGAAAGGAAAGAGAGAAGGCAAACAGTGAAAGGAAAAGAGAGTGCAGAAATTAAGTCTCTTGATCATTTAATATTTCATGTCCTGGGAACCAAACTAAATGCCCCAGGATGAGCTGGGTACTCTTTGGATGTCTACTTGCATGACACTGATGTCTGATGAGCCATTGGTGACCCAGCATCTGTTCTGTATATTAACTAACTTGAACTAACTCTTTATTTGGTGAAAAGAAATTCCTTTTTTTCAACTAAGCTTAACCCAAAAGCAGAATTGCTGTCAGCTAATGAGATTGAAATACGTGCCTTCTCTGCAAGAGCATCAGGACTTGGGTAGTTTAGTGATGTTTGATTTCCACAGAAGTGTGCAGTGCAACTTCATCAAACTCTGTGCTGGACCCTGGGTTCCTCAGAGGGATAGGGAAACAAATAATTTCAGTGCATTTTCCCTAGTTAAAATAGCAAGCACTAACTTAATCTCTCTTTATAGTTAAAAAAATCTTGTGCCTTCCCTGAGGCTTTCTCTTGTACCAATTGAAATAGGAAGTAAAGTGTGTATTTTCTAACAGTGGGGGTTTTAACCACAGGACTAAACTACTGAAAGAAACATTTGATTATTTTCTTTAGTTGTTTTTCTGGGGGGTTGTTTGGTTTTTCTTTTTTTTCAGAACAACATGAGCTACTTTACTGGAAGATATGATTCAGATTTTTAAAAAAAGTGTTTGGGCACAGTGTAGGAGTGATTGGGTAGAACATACAGCTTGTAACAGGCAGATTGCAAGAGATAGTATCTAATTGTCCTTTTCCTGCCCAAGTTCTGAATCCTGAATTTGTCTATTTTCTCTTAATTGCCTTTGAAGTGGGACAGAGGTTGCTTTCCATGGTGCTTCATTGTATTGCCAAAATTCCTTAAGAACTTAAACTCTGGCATTCGGAGCTAGTAAATTCTCAAAGAGCAGAAATCTGAGGCAGCAGCCATTTCTGAGGTTTTCCCTTTGATTTGGTGTGCTGTGCTCAGTTCTTCCAGAATGGGCTTTTGGACGGGACAGCTGGATCCATTACGAGCCAAGGAGCATCCTGAGCACTCGAAGCACGCGGATCCAGCTGATGGTGCGCACCCGGCTCTCACACAGCACCCTGCTCAGCCTGGCCTCTGCACATGGGAGAGGACACATCCGACTGGAGGTGAGCAGAGCTGCTCTGCTACAGTGCTCTTAATTTGTCATGGATACCACAGTGAGGGGAAAAAGATGCAGTTTCTTATTAAAGACACCTGTTCTGTAATGTAATAAAGAGTAAGAATTTTCCTTATGAGGGTAACTACTATCATTTGTGTTGTCCTTTTCAGTATTACTCTTTCGTGGCATAAATTCCAGTTTGCACTGCCTGTAAAATGTCCATGTGAACGAAGAAGATTCTTCTGCTTGTCCTACTTGCTTTTTCCCTTGGCTTCTATTTCTCCCTACCTGTAAAACTTGCCTCTAAATTTTTGTTGCTGTTGAAAAAAGCTCTCTCTGGACTATATAAGCTAGAGAGAGGCTAATTATTCTAATTGGAACAGGAGTGTCAGCTGGGAAGATTTAGAGGTAGATATCATGTGAGTTGAAGAGTGGCATGTAAAAAAAAGAGTTGATAATTCCTGCACCTGCAGTTGTCTTGTGGTAACTTTTATCTGGGAATAAAGTACTTAAAAACAAGAGTGCCATTTCTATTTTAAAAACTCACATCCATTTTTTGAGGCATGACTGTAATAACATTTAGAAGTGCATTTCTGTTATTAAAGGTCTTTATCATCTTCTTTTAGGTCGTTGAGGGTTTCTTTAGTGTTAACTTCAGTTTGGGGGACAAAAATCACTCTTTGAAAATGAGAACATTACGTATAAACAATGGCCAGTGGGTTCTTCTGACCATGGAGCGCTACAACAATGAATTTACCCTGCGTGTTAACAGTGGTGGAGGTGATCAAGAAGTCACTTCTGTCTTGGGTGTGAATAGATGGTTTGAAATGGATTGGGCAAGCATTGTGCTAGGAAACCACCTTCCAAGTCATTCAGAGAGTGATTTCCAAGGTAAGTGATATGATGGATTCCTAATAGGGGGGAATTAAAACCTGAAAGTGGTATCTTTGAGTGTATTGGATAGTCTGAAACCCAGGTAACAATTCCCACATGGACTACTATGCCCCTCCCTTACTGGGGAATTCAGTGTTCAACCCTTTGTGCCATTTTATCTGGTTCTAGTGAAGATGTGAGATTTCCTGTAAATATTAAAAAATAACACTTCAGTTTTTTGTTTCATAGAATCATAGAATGGATTGGAAGAGGTCTTAAAGATCATCTCGTTCCAAACCCTCTGTCAGGGGCAGGGACACTTCCACTAGATCAGGGTTTCCCATTCCTCAAGCAGTGTACTCATGGTGTCATCTTCACTCCTGTTTTTGCCTCAGAAGTATTTAAGGAACAGGCAAAACAACTCTTGGCAGGAGGAGAAAGAATTGCAAGGCAATTTGTGGTGCTCTCTCCATTTCCTGGGGTTGAGCGCTGAGACTTTGCGATTGTGGTTCAACAAGAAGACAGCTTTTTCCATTCTGTTGCTTTTTATTCAGCCTCACTTTTAAGATTGTCTTAAATCTAGATTAATTTAGTGCAGCTGTTCTGATTCATAGCAGAGTTCTGCTGAACTCTTGTATTGGTACAGTGCAGCTCTCCTGGAAAAGTATTGTTGATCTGTAGATTGACCAGAGCAAAACAGACACATGCTCTGTAGCTCTCCTAAAATAAAACTGAGGAGTATAAGGATGTTTTTACGCAATGTTTGGAGTCTTCTGCACAGCTCTAAGTTTGGCTTATTTGCTGGGGGCAAGGCTTGAGGTGCAGAAGTAGCTAACAATGTACTTTTGTGCATACTCCTGTGCTTTGTTGCAGGTTGTATGCGTGATGTCCAGCTGGACGGTCATCCACTCTTGGTGGAAGGCAGAAGCACAGAGTTTGGATTAATTTTGAGGCGACAAGGGGTCACCATGGGATGCCATTCCAGTGCCTGCAGCAGCCAGCCCTGTTACAGCCCCTTCCTTTGTGTAGACCTTTGGAGAAAATATGAATGCCGGTACATGAAGCTTCTGTTTTCATCCAGGGATGGCTGGGAAGCTTTCTTTCCACTTTTGACCAGGCAATTTGCTTCTAATGGTGAAATTCCCTGTGGCTGCTGGCCAGAAGGGCCATTCTGAGAATAAATCCTTCACTCCATCTTATATCCTATCACGGACTAGACTTGCCTTTGTCTGCAAGTCTGGTATGGAGCTTAATTACTCCACCTTTTTTTTCGTGGTGAGATCACCAGAAAGCCAGTGAGAAAAAGAAATGTCCTTTGATAAAAGGTGGATGAAAAAGCTTTGGTCTGTCCTCTGTATGAAAATAGTAATATAGTGTATATATACACTTATAGTGTATATGGACAGTGTGTGTGTGTGTGTGTCTACACATTGATATATATGTATATATATGACATATATAAAAATATATAAATATATTGTAAATACAATACATATTTATATATATTTTCTGTAAAGAAGTTGAAATTAATCATAATTTGTGTGAAGCAATGAGACTTTCAAAATTAGATTGTCACAAAAAACTCAATTCTAAAATTGGCTTCCCAGAGCCAGAGCCAAAGCCCAACAGCTGTTATCCTACACTGTGTGTTTCTTCGAGAAGATCCACTATTTATAGAAAAATTTCAAAATATTTATTAAAATATGCAAATCAAAATACATGTATTTCTGTTTTAAAAACCCAAACATAAAATACACGCAGGACTGAGAGAGTCACTTGAATTCCTGGAATTCAGACAAAATTTGGCACTTATGAAATCTGGTGATTCTTTGCTAGAAGAGGCTGTGAGTTGGTTTTAATTGTACCAGGGGACACTCCATTCTCGGGACTGCTTCCGAAAGAACAATATGAAGTTTTTGCCATTTTTTCAGTATAATTTCTTCTTTGGATTGCAGAAAGGAAGTGACCTCACACTGTACCTCCAGGGCCTCTCTAATTACACACAAGAAGAAATCAATCATAAAAGACGAGACTAGTCATTTTGAGGAGGTCAATGACATTTCTCCCCAGGGTCCAAATGAACATTACTAAACTTATACCACATGCTTGCCAGCTCTTTTCCTATTGACCTCAGCTGTCCATTTTCTTTTAGGAGCTTTGATTAGAAAATAGGTGTAAAAAAAAGGGTTAGCCAGGAAGTGATGGCTCCCTCTTTTAAGGAAAGAGTGAAGCTCTTCTGCATATCTTCTGGATCAGGAAACCAGAACATATGTTCATATTTTCATAAGTCTACTAACTCACTAAGTTAGATTTTCTATATATTTCAAACTGTCAGTGTGTATTTGTGGGTTGCTTGAAAATAATTGAGCTTTAAAGAAACAGTAACAAACATTCAGCTCCAGATGCTTTGCTTGCCTATAAGATATCATCTGCTTTGGTTGTTCAGGTGCCCAGCTGGGAAAGTAGAAGTGACTGACACCCTTACAGGGCTTAGACACTGTACTTCATCCCCTTGTGGACACTGGACCTGTAGGAATGGGGGTACCTGTGTGGCTCAATCCCAAGACAAGACTATCTGCCAGTGCCCTGAAGGTTACAAGGGAAGATGGTGTGAAATTAGCCAGGTGAAGGCTGGAAGACCTGTTGGACTAAGCTCTGGCTCTATTCTGGCAATCAGCATGTGCCTCCTTGTCTTCCTAGGTAGGAGATCATGTACCCTTTTTCCTTATTTTTAATCTTGTACCTGTTCCAGTGAATTAAGTCTGATTTACCTTTAAGTGTTGTGATCACCGTTTCGCCTTTTCTGGAGATCACTATTTGAGAATGCTAAGAGACAGACAACAGAAAATAGTTAGGGTTTACTTGTTTTTTCAATTAAAGTTAGGATTTCTCTCATCCAGAGTCACTTATTTTCAATCCTTCTTAAGTAAGAGCTTTCCATCTTTATGTGCAACTCTGTGTGCAGCCACATCCATTTGAAACTCCCACCTGCCCTGAGCCCTTACATTTGTAGTAGGTAGGACCTACAGCTACATATGCTCTTCACATATTAGGAAGGAAGAGATCTTCTAGAAAGTTCACGGTCTTAAAAGGCAAGCCTCATTAAAAGTGTGGGCAGAGAGAGATGTTCATAGTGTGTCCTTTTTCAGCTGCACTTTGGCTGAAAGATTAATGACACCATAAAACCGTGTTCATGTGGCTAAATTGCACAAACATCTTGTAATAGCAAAAACTCCATGATTATATTACACTTGTAACCTTCATTAAAACAGTGGTTTACTTACTTTGGGTATCTTATTTACTCAGGATTGGTGAAAGGCCAGAGATTGGCCAAAATGCCTTCTATTTAAATGGATCCCTTTAGGTAAGTAAAATACCCTTTTAATGAAGTTTATGATGTAATATACATAGATTATTCTTTACATTCATGAATTTAAGTTGTTTATATATTAACAATACTCTTTTCTTACCTGAAAATTTAGTTGTCAAATTAAGAGTTGATTTAATATCTGAGGAATCATATAACTACATGTTTATCATGCAACATACTTTGTCATACATCATATAACAAATATGTGTCTTTATTTCTTCCAGCACTCTTGGTTTCCTACACAGTGTGGAGTCAGTGGGGAAGTTCAGGGTTTCGGAAAGGAGGAATTTACCACATTCCTGAAGAGCGTGAAAGCTGGGAGGATGTTAGAGAAAATGTCTTCAATTATAATGAAGAAGGGGGTGGAGAGCGTGACCAGGTATGATGCAGCTTCAATCCAGCTTTGCAAATCCAACCTCTCCTCACTTTCCTTTCCCAGACCTTTTCATTAACTTATTATCAAATTGGCTTTTTTTCTTCTCCTTTTTTTTTTTTTTTAATGTGAAGTCCTCTTAAGTGGGAGGCTTCTATTTCAACCCAGTCTGTACTTTTAACGATTCTAGTCATGTGTGCCCACTTTCAAGGGAGCTGCTCTAGACACATCATGTTGCTTTAGCTGAAAATTGTCATTGCGTGGAGGGATTTGGTATGATCTGAAATTAGTCCTCCAAACTAGGCACTCTCCTCTTCAGATTGTAGAAAACTCAGAGAATTCAGTCTTGTGTCGCCTTGTGTTGTAAAACATTTTTTTGAATCAGTTTCCTTTTGAGTTATTTCTCTCTGATATTTGCATTCTCTTTGTTTCCAGAATGCTTATGATATAGATGAACTGAAGAAACCTCTCCAAAAAATTCCCCACTCCTCCTTACGAGAAGCTGCTCCACACTCCAGGACACCAACTGGCCCAAAAAGAGACTCACTCCCAAAACATGCACATCAAAAGCAATCAATATCAGCTGTTACCAGCATCCCAGACTTCAAGGAATATGTTTCTCAAATCATACGGGATGCAGACAGTGATCTAAAGAGCCTGCCAGCTGACACTATTCATTTTTACTGCTTGGAAGGGCAATGCTCTCTAGCAGGGAGCCTTAGCTCATTAGATTCCATTAGTGGGGATGAAGATCTAAATTATGATTGCCTCCAAGAGTGGGGGTCAAAGTTTGAGAAGCTTAAAGAACTCTACGTGGTCTCAAATGAAAATTTGTAACCGGAGTTAAAGGAACTTGACACATTGTCATGACATATGGAGACTACTTTTAAAAATGCCCTTTTTTATATATAAGTTACATCAAGTAACTTACATGATGCAAGTTTTTAGTTACAATAGCATGACATACTCACTTTTCACAGGAGTGATAATCTGAATGATCTTTTTATATGCACTGTACAAAGTTATTTCATTACATAAGTGCAAAGACTTTTAAAGCATGAATTTTCTTGAAAACCTTGGAAAGTAGGATATCTATAGAATAGTATTATAATATCCTTTTTTATTTGTGTAGACCACAGTGACTTACTAGAATTATCCTGGATGCAAGAACTTGAATTATTTTCTCCCTAGTGTTAATATGAAACCTATCAGGTGGGTAACAATGTATAGAGCACTCTTTTTTAAAATTGAATTAATTTTAGAATGTGAAATAATTATTACCAATGTTAAATATAAAACATTTACAATTTCTGGTTTCTTGTCAGCTTTTGTTGTATCCTCCTAAACTCTGCTCTTCCGTGACATGACACACACCACCTCACTCACAGGCTGCCCAACTCTGTGGGACTTTTTCTGTCTGACCATTTCTCCAATTACCTGTACAAAGGGGAAAAGAGTAGCGAGATCCCACCTGTGAACATGACTTTGTGACAATTTTACACTCTTAAAGGCAGTTGTGGGACCTGGAAAAAGTTTCTCTTCAGTAAACTTTTATGTCCAGCTTTGCTTTTCACATGGAACCCTTCTTCAAAGAGTGCAGCTGGAAAACAGGAGAGCTGATGGCAGGTGTGAGGACAAGCTAGAAGGGCATCCAGGCAAAAGCTGGAACTGAATTTTTTCAATCAGGACAATCATTGTAAAAATTGGGATCCTCCAAACAGAAAGCATGGGAAACCTGGCCTCTACTCCTTTGCCTCCTCTCGCTCTCCAAAATATGACTGGTTTTAGTATGGAAAAAAGGGAATCAGAAGCTTCTGAAATCTGACATTGACTTAAACACTGAGTTCTGTGACTGTGGGTAAATCACCTTGTTCTTTCCCTTTCTCTCTTAACCTCTCTGAAGTGGGCAGCTCCCACTGCACAGGGTGGTGTGTGAATGTTAATAGTTGCTTACAGAGTGCTTGTAACCTCTGAAGCGCCGAGGGTTGTTTAATTGTTTTCAGCTCAGGGGGATTTTTTAATTACCATGATATTCGCCATTTGTTTTTTATCAAAGTCTTGACATTTGATTTGATTTATAATTAAGGTTTTAAAATTTGATCTTTCATCACGCTTCATCATTTTACTTGGAGTAAAGAATGCAAATGTAAATTAGTTTTGTACCTAGAAGGAAGATTTTACTCTTAGTGGAACAAATAGTTTACATCAAAAATTGATTGAACAAAAGTACCATGTGAACTGAATAAAACAATTTCCATTCATTTCATAAAATTATTTATATTAATGATACTAAATTAGTAACATTTATTAGAAAGATTTGGAGAATGAGTCACCATGAGTCACTCCTTCATGCCAAAACCTCACATGGCTGGGCACTGATTGCTCTTACGAAGTTATAAAAAACAAATATGGTGGATATATTAACGTACAGCCACATCTTGTTTAATGTAAATTATTCCTCCTTTCTAAAGATATATGTGTAGTGTAGTAAATACAACATTTACAAGGGATATTATGTATGTTGTTGCTGAAAATGAAAACTGCTGAGCCAGAGAACTTCAGTAAGGTGACTCTTCCAAGTGTTGAATTCTTACAATATTTTCGTGAAGTGGATACACACTTTTATTGCTCTTTATTAAGTTGGCTCTTCTGAACTCTGTATCAAGTAAAGCTTAGCATAATTATTGGTAAACTGCCTCTTCCAAAAGAGACTAATTTGAACGATGTGCTACAAATCATGCTAACAGACTATGATCTCCCTGAGAGTTAATTTGTAATTCATATTCTGAAACTGAACATTTTACATATGGATGCATTAAACAATAACTCAGGAAAGCTGAAGCAGTAGTTAATTTTTTCTCTCAAATAACTGAACACACAAAGTAACATGCACAACAGAAGATAAATTGAATTGAGCTCAGAACATGTAATGGACTTCTGTCCCCATGGAAGATGAGAAAGAACTTTCCTCTATCTCTTTGTATTACTTAGAGAAAAATGCAGAATGCTTACAGCTGAGAGCTGCATGTGACAGCCCCAAGAGTCACACCATTTGCCTGAAAGCATGGTCCAAACATTTCTTGAACTGTCAGGCTTGGTGCTGCAATCACTTCCCTGGGTAGCCTGTACCACTGCCCAACCACCCTCTGGGTGAAATACTTCTCTGGTACTGTAATATTATTGTACTTAATCATAAATCTACGTTGTAAACCTCCTGTTCAGCCTTTGTGAACTCTTCTCTTGGTAAAATATTAGAGAAACTCAGCCAAATTACTGAAATAGATAAAAGCTTCTGCTAGTCATCCTGCTTGTCCCCAGGACACATATGTTCTAAGAACAGGGATACCCAAAAAGCTTCAGAACCAGATCCTGGCTAGTTGCAGTTGAGAGAGTGGTGCAGTCGAACATAGACTATGCAAATACTGACACCTTAATAACATTGGAAGTTGTTACTGCTGAAAGAGTAGCTCTTCTGCCACCTTCATTCGTAAGATGGACATGGACCTGATGGAGCAAGTCCAGAGGAGGGCCATGAAGTTGATAAAAGGACAGGAGCATCTCCACTATGAAGAGAGGCTGATAAAGTTGGAGCTGTTCAGCCTGGAGAAGAGAAGGTTGTGTGGAAACCTCCTAGCAGCCTCTCAGTAACTGAAGAGAGCCTACAGGAAAGCTGGAGAGGGATTTTTTGTCAGGAACTGTAGTGATAGTGATGCCTTGGGTTTTAGCTTTTATATTTTTCAGAATCTCTGCTGCTTAGTGTGTAACTCTGAAACTTCATGTTGGGTGTTGGTTGTTGGTAAGTTCTCTTTGCAGGGTAGTTAGACAAAACAGTCCCTCTCTAGCTAGAGAATCAATGACAACCAGTACTCAAAAAGCATAAACAACAGCGAGGGCAGGGGGCAAGCCAGAGGGCTGACACTTCATAGCCTGGGGCTGTGAAATATCCCATCCTATTGTTCATCCCAATATGTGAATGAACCAAAACTTATAAAAGTGTAAAGGCTGGTGACCGGGAGCCGTCTTGGATTTGATTTGGGTGTATCTCTGGCAGGCCTCTTGCACTCCCCAAAGTGTATCCTTTCAATAAATACCTATTTTATCCCTTTTGCTCTGTCTAGTCTCTGTTCCAGGTCAGCCTTTCCAGGCATCAGTTCTGGCATCCCAGAACGGACCTCAGGGCATCTGGAACACCCATCTCCTGACCACCCCCCCCGCCCTCCACCCCAACCCTGCACAGGAGGAGTGGATAAAAAAGGAAAGAGGGGAAATGTAGGTTAAATATTAGGAAAAATTCCTAACTATGTACATAAAAGCCACACTATGAAAAGCCAGTGTCCATAAAGGAGGCAGAGAAGTCCTGCAATTTTATTCTAATAAAGGGAGAGTCCACTGGGCCAATCCCCTGCAGAGTCTCTCTTGAGGTTTTGGAGGATGCAGCCTCGTTTTATCCTAAATTCCTGACCACATGTTGCCCTCTTCCTTTCCACACTGAAGAGGTACTCAGAAAGTACAGCCTTCCCAAACCGCATACCACATATTCCCCCAAAAACATGTATTGTCATTTTCCCCTAAAGTTTGGAAGTTCAGACTGTGGTTTCTGTGGATCCACCAAATGTTCAGAACATTTGGGCTCTGCAATAGACTTTGCACAGACCCATTTCTCCTGATATCCTAAAGTCCAGGAATTCAAAATGCCTGGTCAAAACGCCTGGGTTCTGTCACAAAACTGTGCAGTTTGATGTTCCTAGAGACCCATTTCAAAGACAGTAACACTCATTTCTCCAAAATCTCCTAAATCATCTCCTCAGGGAATCATTTGTAAAGACATAAGCACCCATCTTTCCTATCAGGAAAGGGTGGTGAAACACTGGAACAGGTTGCCCAGGGAGGTGGTGGATGTCCCACCCTGAAGTGTCCATCCTGGAAGGCTGGATGGGGCTCTGAGCAACCTGGTCTGGTGGGAGCTGTCTGTCCATGGCAGGAGTGGTTGATCCTTGAGGTCCGTTCCAACCTCTTAGCATTATATGACTCCATGATTTAAATCTGCCTCCACGGATCAAGGTTTTCTCTACCCTTTCATGAGGCATTGGGGTGCATGGGCAGGAGCACAGAGGGTGAGCCATTTATCGGCCTGAATGCCTACAGGAGACGCCCTGGAGGGACAGGACCGCCGTGGACGCAAAGGGAAAGGGACGGCTGCGGGGCGTGGCAGGGGATACCATCGAACTAGTGATTTCGGGAAGAAAATCACCGATTCCACAAGGGAGCCAGGCTGCTCTGCCGACAGGCCCGGCCAGCCGTGCGGACCGCGGCCAGCCTCGAACCCGCGGCCCTCACGCAGGGCTGCGCCGCCGGCGGGCGGGGCCGTGCGCGGGCCGCCTGCGAAGGGCGGGCCCGGCGGCCATCTTGTGCAGCGGCCGTGGTGGTGGGTGCCGAGGGGCCGTGCGGGGCCCCTGCGGAGCGGCCGGCATGAGCGCCGAGGCGGCGGACCGGGAAGCCGCCACCTCCAGCCGGCCATGCACGCCACCGCAGACGTCGTGGTTCGAGTTCGTGCTGGAGGAGGCGCTGCTGGAGCAGCATCTGCAGAAGCCCTCTCCCGGTGCGTGCCCTGCTGGCCGCCGCCTCCCCGCGGCCTCGGGTTCGGCCCGGCCTCGCTGCCCGGCCCCTCCTGGGGCAGGATAGTTCCGAGGGCTCGGAGCTCTCGGTGCGGGGTCTCTGCTGGGGAGCGGCGGCAGAGGGAGCCAGGCGCTGCCCGCGGCCGTGCGGCGGCATTTACCGCCGGCAGTAATGCTGTTTTTCTTATTTCGCATTACCTTTTTTTTTAATAACTTCATTTCTATGTCTCTCTTGTCTGGTAGATCACTTTTCCTTTCGCATATGTGACTGTTGTGTGCGGAAGTGCTGTAGTTTGTTGGGTGGGAAGTGCTGCTCATGAACATCATTGCGGTTCGCAGCTGCTTTTCTCCCATTGAGTCTTGTTAGTGGCAGGAGCTGAAGTCCTCCAAAAGGTTAAGTGCTGAAATTGCTCTCTGGACCTGGAATAAATAGAAGTCTCGTCGGATGTATATTATAGGAAAGTGACCATATTTAAGAGCAGCTGATCTTTTGACAGTCATGAATATTAGTCATCTGTTTCAGTACCCGAATTCTGCGAGGAGGTGGAGGAAACAGGAACACCTGGGCCAGTGTTGCCGCTACAAAAAGTCAATTTTAGCATAATCTGTCTTAGATCTTATGCTTAGATCTACGCTTAGATTTTATACTCTCTTTTGTAATTGATTAAGTAAATTGGTAATACACATTTTATGTTTCACAAAGTTCACTGAGAGTGTAATAGTTACGGTTTGGCCTCTTTTCAAAAGAGCTCAAAGGTATTGGCTACCTTATTGTAAGGGAGACATTTCGGTGCTTTTTTGATGCTGTTGTTTAACCAATCTGAAAGTATTTTCTAAATGTATTCAGAAGTAGCAGCAGTTGCTTGTAAATATACTTTATGTGCAGAGGAGAATTACAAGGAGATATATAGTTTTTACAACAGTTCACGTGTGACTCCATTAGGCAGCATTTATTTTCAGTAGA